TGTGTGTGTGTATGCATGCATGTGTGTTTGTAGGCATTCATGTGTGTGTGTATGCATGCATGTGTGTATGTGTATGCATGCATGTGTGTGTGTATGCGTGCATGTGTGTGTGTATGCATGCATGTGTGTATGTGTATGCATGCATGTGTGTGTGTATGCATGCGTGTGTGTGTGTGTATGCATGCATGTGTGTGTGTGTGTGTGTGTGCATGCATTGGTGCAGATGTGTCCAGGTATGTGTTTATGTGCTTGTGGGACACCAATTTTATATATAAAGCTATAAGGAAAACCCCGGTATTTTATAAACATAAATAAATTCTGAGCATTTACATTCATTACCTAATATAAATTTCACAGTATAAAATTTATAAAACTCCAAACTAATTCCTTACATCTTTATCAAGGCCACCTCTAACCAAGTAACTTATGCAATATATTAGAATATAATTTTTATGAATGGTAATTACAAGAAAATAAAACTTTGTTTAAATACATTTAAAGCTACAATACAACCAACAAATACGGAAAATTATTTCAATTTAGCATTCCAAACGAGGCCAACTTCTACTTAAAGAACTATATGTCTGCTTAAGTCACACAGCCTAATCTGGCACTTCTGTGAAAAAAGAAGAAAATACCCTTGGACATTCACGTAATGAAGCATCTTACATCTAAACTTGAACTAAAAAGTATTGTGAATTACACCTACCTAATAATTATGATTCTTGAACACATACTTTGCTATAATTATGTTCATAGCCCTAATTACCAAAATCTATTATATGTTCAACACTGGTTAGGTTCATGTGAATGAGCAACTAAATTATAGAAAGATAAGTAGTTTGAAAGTGGATTAACCTTGCAGAAAAGTAGTTTTAATGTGGATTACTTTGCGTATTTAAGAGAAAGGCTTACGGATAATAAGGAAGAGAAGCCCATTAAAAAAAATGAGTTGTGTAAAAAAAAAGAAAAAGAAAAAGAAAGAAAGATTACTTTGGCATCCTTACAAAACTGAAGACCTTTGGTACTGGAGTAAACTGAACAATATTACTATTATCATTATTGTATTATCATTATATTCTTAGCATGATTAAAAATGAGGTAAAGCTTTGGGTTAGTAAGTTTTCAAAGCAGCTGTTCCAACACATGCTTTGTTGATCGTTCATTTTAAAGAAATGTTGGCACATGGCGGGCTGTTCAAAGTACCATTCCTGTATTTGGTAACTAAATATTCACTTCACTTATGTTGCATACAATAAATATTCGACAATTTCACTATAGTTTTCTCTTAATATGATATTAAAAAATATTGATTTTCATCTCAACTTTTCATGTTCATTCTCTGTCTGACATATGAATAATTTCACAATGAGCCTGGGATATCCTCTCCGAATTTGCTAATGTGAGCTGCCCGTTTTGCTTCCTGCAGGATCTGAAATGGGAAATGTTATTACTATGTAGTTTAGTTAAAAATATGTTAAAATACATTACAGGAGGCTTTCTCCTCCCATGATTAATATTCAATAGGACTGGGACAATGTACATGTATGATTTTCTTGTCAATATAATGGTTAACAAGAACATAACATATGCAATAGAAATATGAAGTTTACAGCCAGGATATTATTAACCCGTTGGATCCAAGTGAGGTGAGAGTCACATCATGACAAAATTTGCCTGAGAGCCAGGTGACAGGAATTTGCTGTCATGGAAAAATTTGGCTGAGGTCTGGGGTGACAGAAATATCCTGTCATGGGAAATGTGGCTGGTGGCTGGGGTGTTGGGAGTGTCTCGATATGAGAGCATAATGCTCTTGGAAGATATGATTCAGTGGATATTTAGGAAGGGGTCCTTGCATTATTTCCATTAGTGGTATGTACCATCAGTGAGCCCTGGCTGGAAGAGTACCTGCTCCAGAGGGCACACCATTTCCATGCACAGGATCCTATTCCTGCCAGCCATCACGACTGCGCAAGGTGTTACAAAAAACTGAATAATGTAAAAAAAAAACTTGTTATTGTTACTGCAAAGTGGTACGACTACTTAGAGAGATAATATGGAGTCTGCCCAATGAAAGGAGTATTGCCATCATGATACAGCATATCAGATGACATAGACAATAATGCTTATGCTGAAATAGAGATAACATTACAAAAGGGAGGAATGTCTTAATATCACACGAGTTCATATAGGTTGGGCTTACAAGCCACACACCCGAGAGAGTTGCCATTTAATCCCTATGATCTGGGTGACATGACAGTCTCATCATGGAAAAATCTGGGTCAAGGGCTGGATGATGTGAACATGCCGTCATTGGACAAAATGGCTGTGTGTGTGTGTATGCGAACCTGCCTTCATGAGTGAAGGCCAGGGTGATGGAAAAGACTTGCCATAAGTGCACACACTTCTTGGAGTGTAATTAGACTCATTTGGCATTTAGAAGGGGGCTTTTGCAATATTCCCACTGATAAATGAAGCTGCGACTGGAAGAGTGTCAGCT